AAAAAAGTTGTTGAGCGGAAATTAATACGCCCCCCCCCCTTATCCACAAGAAAAAATCAACTATCAAAATAAATTTGTCTTCCAAATACGACCCCCCCCCTTTTCCACAAGAAAAAATCAACTATCAAAATAAATTTGTCTTCCAAATACGACCCCCCCTCCCCAGAGCAAAAGTACGACCCCCCCCCATGGGTTTGACACAACGATGCTGTACCCTGCTCTGTAGGTAGAAGGCATCAACCGGCTAGCATTCCAGAAGACGTCAATAGTCCACGACCTAATTTCTCCTAATCATCCTTATGAATGCACTTGAGCCCTATGTGCCTCGAAATTCCAGACGGCGGATTCTGAAGATTGAGGGATTGGGATAAGAGTCCGATGGACATGCCCGAGGTATACACTTATGCTGTCACTCTCTCTCCCAAAATGAAGTTCCAGGAGTACGCAAAATGTGCTCAACGTACACATGTTGACACGAACGATGGAGGCAAAATGCAAGGCCATGGCATTAGCCGCTGATCCAACTGGATTATTCCAGAGCTATCGAATTCCGTAACCTCAATTTCTTGTGTGTTTCTATTTTGCTCACCATGATGCTCGCTTCTTTCCTCATGAAGTATCCACGTATTTCTACCGCTCGGTTTCTTTACCGCGCTATTGAACCATGATATTCTCAGCAAGAGTCAGGTCATTTTTCGCTGTTTTTTTCAGGTTTCAAATGAACGGTTTCCTCGTCTATTTAGCAACTTTGCAAGCAGCACTGTTTGTCGCTTATTCGCAATCCGACTTCAGCTCTCAGGTGGGTAGGGTACTCTCTCTCTCTGTGAGTCCCACTCCCAGTGCGACGCGATTCAACTTTTTGCTCTGCGTCCCTATGAACTGCAACTTTCAGTTCGGTAAGCCGTGTTCGTCGTCATATCAGTGCTGGAGGACGGAGCCGATCTTGGACGACGGGTTGCCCATCTCTATTGCAGGTTCGTTTTTGCCATTCCTGGGTGTGTAACAAATCTTCCAGTGAAGTTACCCACTTTCCACGAGTGGTCCTCTTGCGCGGAGATTGGAGATTTCGCTATAAACGATTGATGAAGGAACCATGAAGTGCTATAGGTTGTCCCCGTTTGGACGGTTTCCAGAGCATTTGAGAAAGTTGTTCTGTAGAGGTTTTCTGTTCATATTTTACAGAATTAAGGCCTAGTTTGTCCACAAGCATTGTTGAGTCGCAGCAGTTTTGGAAGCAGTTCAGAAGAACCACACTGAACGATCAAAGAGACTAGATTCGGTACCTCCTTCGCGCCCGCGGTGCATATGCACTCCATATCCTGGAACTAGGGTGGGCGTGGCTGAGTACCTTATTTGGTTGTGGCTGATATGCGCTCTCGTGGGATTTTGCAATTGATGACTGCTAAAAATAAAACTATCGCATTCCATGCCTTGTTAAAGGCAGTTGGCACGATAAGTCCCGAAGACGAGTAGGATTATTACGCCTGGCAGGACGGAATTCCGCGCCATGCAGGCGCTGCGTAAGGCCTTTACCGAGAATTGTACCTTCATAAGATCCTATCTCGCTGCAACATAGCGTCCCGGACGCCCAGAAGTGGACGACCGTATCTCATGCTCGTGTTCCTTCATATGCAACGTCAAATATGAAGGTTGAGTGGCATGAAGCGGCCGCGGAATACGCGCAGCCGTATCTACTGCAAGCGGTTATTGGCACGATGCCTACGGGAAACTCGTCCGAAATCGCTTTCTGAGTCATTGAGAACGAAGGCTTTTCTTCGCAGGTTTTTGACCGTTTCACTTCGTTTTTTCGCCATTTTCCCCACTATATAGCACCCTGCTAGCATTTTAGGCCGAGTACTAATTATCGTGCCATATGCCTTTAAAATGAAAACGCAGCCACGCACTACCCACCCTTCACGACATGGACTGTGTTGCGTGTGCGGGTCATGCTGGCCCATGGGAAGGGTCGCACGGCTCCCCTATTTCGGTTGTGAGCCTCTGTCCCCTTAAGAGCTCCACCTCTGGGTTAGCAGCAAGATAAGCTCTTGATCATATTTCCAGGATGGCTGCCGGCTAACACAGCAGTCATTCTCGTATAAATAGAACATTTTTTGAACACCTATTTTCAGCGCCGGGACGAACGAAGCGGCTCGAAATAGCTTCAAAATCTCGGGGAGGTACGTCTGGAAAATTCCATTCCAATTCTAACTTAACCAGTCATTTCGCCGCTCTTGTGATTTAATCTATTGTGTGTTTTCAGCACGCTGTCGTTGCACGGAGAACGTATGCCGCATGTTCCATCTTCCTACAGGAATATTTCTTCCATGCGAAGAGTTCTAAAGTGCTTTGTTGCTTCATAACAGCGATAATGAATGTTTTTCTCGTAGAAGCCTTCTGTTCTCAACCAACTAAATTCTTGCGAAAAAGAGTAGAAGATTAAATGGGAAGAATTATCATATCGGCTCTTTCAAGCAAGTGATGAGTAATCTGCAGTAAAAAATTAATAAAGCTTAGCACTTCATGTTCTACTTTGCTCGTTTAACTCCTTAGTCAATCCACATATATTTATCAGTGCATCAGTGCAATGAAATGATTTGGAGCCCTAATAGACCAATTAATCGGAGAGCTGAATACGATCTCTGTAATTCTGGGGAAAAGCGAGGCATTTTATTTGAAGACAAATCCCGCGATTGCCAGTCTTGGGCAGAAGGGGCAGTAAGAAAATAGTGATACGGATACGACTGAACGCAAATCACCGCTTGGTCGGACGAGTTTTCTGGAGTTGCTGATTTACTACTTGGCCAGATGTTCTCATACCGAAGCACTTCTTGGTTTAATCATTTAGGTTCTGACATGAGACCAAAACCACTAGCAGTATGCCCTTGATCGCTCTTGCCGCACAGCAACTTGACGGCCGTTACCGTTCCACTTTCCTCGGAATTTTATATTTTTCTCTTTTCTTAGGTAATCTACAGACTGATTGTGTTCCCGTGCAGTTCCGTCAAGAAGTTGTGCGTAGGTGTAGAATAGAACAGAACAAACGAGCTCGATGTTTATGCTCAAACAGCCGTCCAAATATGTTCAACATCACTCCAATACTGATATGACAATATCACAGAACGGAATGGGAATAAAGTATCAGTTAGAAAAGAGAATCCTTGCGCGATCCGATCGCAAAGCACGTGGGGCGAAAGAAACTGAAAGAACGGCACGATCAGCAAAGGAAATGCATGAGAAATGAAACAAAAAGAGCTGCGACAGCGCCTCAACATCTGATATTTCATTTCCTTTATGTCAATTTAATTTTTAACTTCCCAAGCACTGTGCGAGTATATCTGGGGAGACTGTGTCGCGTATATCGAACTTCGAGTTTTCATATTTTTGCGGTAAGAGCAATCCGCCACAAGAAATGATTATTCGATCAAGAGCGTCGCGAGGTTCGTGGAAAGGCTGAGTTCATACTTTGCGGCAGCGTCCACCAGCGACCATCAGCGTTTCGAGCGTCCGTCAGCGTCAGCGACTAGGAAAGTATAGATATCGATCTAGCGAACGGCAGCGTCTACCAGCGTCTACCAGCGTCTACCAGCGTCCACCAGCGACCAGGAGTACGGCGTTGTAAAGTAGCAATTTCACGGCTCAATCCAGCTGTCTGAAGGGAATAGGAGGGCAGCAGACTACTGTAAAGTATGGAGAAGTAGGAGGCGGCCGGCAGCTGGATTAGGTGTCGCGAGCTTGCGGCGTTGCAACAGGACCGTACCACACTACTACACAGCGCCGTATTTCTGGCCTCTAGCGGATGCTGGTGGACGCTGGTAGACGCAGGTAGACACTAGAGCGATATTCAAGGCGCTGCTGGACGCTGGTAGACGCTGGTAGACGCTGCCGTTCGCTAGATCGATATCTATACTTTCCTAGTCGCTGACGCTGACGGACGTTCGAAACGCTGATGGTCGCTGGTGGACGCTGGTGGAAGCTACGCCAAAGAATGAACGCAACGTAAGAAAGCTGTTCTTATTGGGTTTTGGCGACATGAGCACGTTGACGAGCTACCGTTAGCTCACGTGCGAGTGGCCGCGTGGGACAATATGACCACCAGTGGCTCATACCATTATGCATAACTTTTCCGGTTTCTTGCCGTTCTTTTATGTTGATGCCTTTCTTGTTTTCTAATCGCTCGTATGAGAGGTGAATGCCCAACAAGAATATGCGAAAATAATGCTATGCCTCAACTAACCGCAGCTACTCCAAAGAGCCTTTTTCAAAATCAAAGCGTTGACGTGTAGGAACTTGTTCTCGTTCTCGGCACGTTCTAACACTCGTACTGGCTTTCATGTCATTCGGACCCAATGGAGAAACGCCTATCTGGCGCTAGCTAACTGTTTGTCCACCCAAAAACGCCCCCGCCGGTGCCCAAGGCAAAGCATGCAATAGGGTTGAATATTGGCCCTCGTATCTACTACAGAGCAATTGCTTGGGCCCGCGCGGCGATATTCTATTGCCTTGGGGATTAGTTTAGCGCTCAAATCGGTTGCGTTTTCCGAGCAAACCGCAATCAGCCACCTTGAACTGGTCGAATAAAGGCATCTTGACAGAAAAGCGGGCCTCACTTGCTGTAGGGGCTAACAAATATATCGGAATAAAAACTAAAGGTATATACAGGGGGGGGGGAAAAAAGTCACTTTCTTCATTGACTTTCGAGGCGCTATAAGTTACACTTTATTAATTCTGATCGGACATTTTTACCACCATATTGAAGAGCATATCAAATACTATCATGACACTCCGCCACAGCCTTCTGGACGAGCGCCATCGATTCTGGCACGCGACCGCGATGTGGTGCCTGAGATCAGCGAGATAGTCGATTTCTCCGCCACCGTAGACCACCCTATTGAACTCCGCCCGAACCGGGTAATTGAGGGATTCAGGTCAGGTGACCTACTTGGATATTTCC